ACGATTCAAATGCTTGTATGCCTAAACCTTCAAGTTGTACAGGCTTAATTTCTTAAAATTGTTAAAGAGGATCAAAGGCAAATGGAGATTGTTATTGGAATGGTACTAATTGTGTTGATAGAATTTGCACGAATATTTCTTTAAATACTCATGATGGTTGTTAAGGTTAATTGAATACATGCACAGTTAATAATACTAGATAAGCTTGTTAAAATTTAGCCACAGCTTGTACTTCTTATGGATCAGCTGAAAATTGTAAAATTATATTGAATGGAAAAAGTTGCATATGGACTGGATCAGCTTGTAGAAATGCAACTTGTGCTGATGCATCAGATAGTAATTCCTTTGCTACTGATGATTAGTGTTAACGTTATCCCACACCTACTGAAACTTGTACAGTTATATTAAAAACAGGAGGATTAGGATGTGTGCCAAGATTATCTAATTGCGGTGACTATAGTTCATAAGCTTAATGTTATAGAACTTTAACAGCCAACTAAGATGATTGTACTTGGCATTTAACTCTAAACAAATGTTTTTCTAATTCATATCTCTCTGGTGCATGTTCAACCTTCAGAGGAACAAAAGTTTATTGTGAATAATTAAAAAAAGGTTGCACTAATACTATAAATGCTACTGATACAGATGCTTGTTCTTTCTCTTGTGCAGCTATAACTGGATTATCCGAAGCAGATCATAATAGTTGTTAATAATATAGTGAAAGTTGCACTATTAATGGTGATGGATCTGCATGCAGAACAATTTAATAAGCTTGTAGTAGTTATGTAACTATACATGATTGCACATTTAAAGTTGGTGGATAATAGTGTTTTTGGAGAGTTGCAGCTGAAGGTGTTACTGAAGCTTGTTTAGATATTTCTTCAACTAATTGCAATGCTGTTACTGCTGATGCTGGTCTTACTCATGAAATTTGTTAGTAATTTAATACTTCTTGCACTAATTCTGGTGCAACAGCTTGTAGAACAATTGAATCAGCTTGTACTAGTTATCTTACTCTAGAAAATTGCACCACAAGAGCTGATGGATTAAAGTGCTTTTGGAGAGTTGCAGCTGAAGGTGTTACTGAAGCTTGCTTAGATATAACTTAAGAAAATTGCAACGCTGTTACTGCTGATGCTGGTCTTACTCATCCAACATGTTAACAATATAGTACTTCATGCACTACTTCTGATGCAACAGCTTGTCGAACAATGTCATCAGCTTGCAGTAATTATTTAAGTTCGGCTGAATGCACATTTAAACTTGGTGGATAAATGTGTTTTTGGTCAGTTGATACTTGTGTAGATATTTCTTCGACAAATTGCAATATTGTTGTTTCATCTGTTGGAATAACTAATCAAGCATGTTAATTTTTTAGTTCTTCTTGCGTTGTTAATTCTAATTAATCAGCCTGTAAAACAATTTAATCAGCTTGCAGTAGTTATACTATTCAAGGTGATTGCACCACAAGAGCTGATAGATTAAAGTGCTTTTGGAGAGTTGCAGCTGAAGGTGTTACTGCTGCTTGCTTAGATATAACTTAAGAAAATTGCAACGCTGTTGTTACTGGCTCTGCTCTTACTCATCAATTGTGTTAAGAATATAATACTGCTTGCACTGGTACTGGTGCAACAACTTGTCAATTATTAACTTGTGAAACAGTTCCAAGTCCAAGTTGGTAAAATTGTTAAAACTTTAGTACATCTTGCAGTGTAAAGAGGGATGGAAGTGGTTGCGTCACAATGCAAGCATAGTGTTCAGGGTATTCAACAACGATTGATAATTGTTATAGATCAACAGCAGGACTTTGTATTGCTAATAGCTCAAATACTTCCTGCGTTGCACTATCAGCATCAACAACTTGCGAGGCCTTAAATTTAGGAGCAGGTAATTACACTCATGAAAAATGTAATGAATTTAAAAATACTTGCACTAATTTAAGTACCACAGGATGTTAAACTAAGACATGTGCTATTAAAACAGCACCATTTACTCATTTGGCTTGTAATTCTTGGTTGTCTACTTGTACTGCCAATTCCGTTTAATCACCAACTGCTTGCATAACTATGCCAGCCACATGTGCCACTTTGAGTGCAGCAGCATGCGTTTGGGCCGTTGAAGGTGAATGTATTGCCATAGGTTCAATTTGTGTTAGAAAGACTTGTGATACAGCTGCTTCAGACACCAACTTTAACTCAAATGAAGAATGTACTAATTATCTATCTACATGCACAGTTGCAAAAATAGGAGGTTGCTAAGCTAGAGCTGCTTGTTCAACATATAGATCTTAAAATTAATGTAAATTCAATACAAGTGGTGGAAGATGTTTCTGGAATGCAACAAATAGAACTTGTGTTGATTTCAGTTGTGGTAACATTGAAGCTACATCTTCATATGATACACATTCTGAATGTGCATCAGCTGATTAAACATGTACAGTTAGAGCTACTAATGGAGCAGCTGTTCCTGGTTGTATGGCCAGAGGAGCCTGTAGTTCTTATTAAATTGAGGATTAATGCAACAGAAATGCAACTGGAGGTGTTTGTGTTTGGAACACAAATTTAGCCTAACCAGTTTGTTAAGATAAATCATGCACTACTGCCCCAACTGCAACAGCAACACATGATGATTGTAATTCCTATTTCTTCACAGCCTCTATTAGATGCACAGTAGTTGCCACACCAGATGCTAATGGTGGTGCACCAGTCTTAGGTGGTTGTCAATAAACAGCAGCTTGTGCTACTTACATCCATTAAGAATAATGTAAATTTAATTCAACAGGAGATGCTTGTGGATGGAATGGTACATTATGTGCAGATAAGTCATGTGCTACTGCACCTGCAACTGCTGATTATGATGATAATGATAAATGCAGAGCTTACTTCAATAATAAATGTACAGTTTCAGATTCAGGATAAGGATGCGTTGATATACCAGATACATGTGAAACTATGGTAGAAAGATAATGTGTTACTGATAAATCTGGTAGATTATGTTATTGGAATGGTACAGCTTGTATTACTAGATCTTGTGATAATGCTCCAGAAGCAACAGCTTCTCCTGATGAATGTAATACTTATTTGGCTGGATGCACTTTAGATGCAGATGTTAAATGTAAAACAAAGGTTTGTGAAGATTTTGCTTTTGCCACTGATGCTTTATGTAGATAAGCTATAAGTACATGTACAACAAATGGAACAAATTGTGTAACAAGAGGAACTTGCTTCTAAGCTATGAGCTAAGCTGGTTGTGTTACTTCAGTAACAAATCAATAATGTGAATGGATGCCAGCTGTCGGAAATAATTAAGCATATTGTACAGTAAAGACATGTAATACTGCCCCAATTACTTTAACTTCTGAAGCAGCTTGTGCAGGTTATTTCACTAATTGCACAACAAAGAATGGAGGTGGATGTGTTGCTAAATCAACTTGTGCAGCAGTTACTGTTGATGCTGCTTGTACAACCGCTCTTAATGGAACTATTTGTGCTTGGGATAGTGCATAAAATAAATGTAGAGACAAAGATTGTTAAGATTTTAGTGGAACTACTCATGCTGCATGTTAAGGATAAAGAGCTGGATGTACTGCTGGAGCTAATGGAAAATGCGCTAGAGTTTAAAATTGCGAACAAACTACATTAAGAAGTGCATGTGTTGAAGGTACTAATGGACCATGTTTATGGGTTAAAGACTTCATTAATACTGATGGATCAACAGGAGCTTGCTTTAGATATACTTCATGTAAGAGTTTGACTTGGAATTCTGATACATAATGTAAATGGCTAAGTAAATAATGTACAACTAATGGATCTAATTGTATTGGTATTACTTTATGTTCTGAAACTAATACTGATGGTGGATGTGTTACAGGATATGATGGAGCTTGTATACAATCAGTACCAGCCTTGAACTCTTCAGACCCAAAGGTTTGTAAACCATATACATCTTGTGCTGATGCTTTCTATACAACTCATTCTGATTGTCAAATTGCTAGTAAAAAGTGTACAACAAATGGACTAACTGGTTGCATTGCTTTAGGTTAATGCTCATCTTATACTTCATAAGCAGGATGTGTTTTCAATGATAAGGGAACTGTTTTAACATCTGGAGTCATCACTTCAACTGGTATTTGTACATGGGATGCAACAGCTAGTAGTTGCAGAGATTAATCATGTGCTGATTTGACTGGAACAAATCATGCAGCATGTTCTTCATAATTATCAACATGTACATCTGATGGAACAACTTGTTTACTCAAAGGAGCATGTTCATCATACACAACTTAAACTGCTTGTACAACTGCTATTGGATCTGATGGTAATTGTTATTGGGAACTTGCTTCTGCTACAAATAATAACACTGCTAAATGTAGATTATTAACTTGCTCTGATATTCAAAATGGTACAGCAACCAATGTTTGTTCAGTAGCTTTGTAATCATGTATTTCAAATGGAACTGCTTGTATTCCTAAAGCTAATTGTTCAACTTATAAAAATAAAATATCATGCAACTCAGGTGGATTGGACGGAATATGTGTCTTCACTTTATCAACTGCAACTGGAGCTGCTGCTGACTCTGGAACTTGTGCATC